TTATACATTTATGATTCAAAGTATTGTCCATCGCTGGCCACTCTCCCATCTTTCGGGCAGCGTACGAATCCCATGTCGAAAAAACTGGTCATCTTTTGAGGCGATCCACGAATCGATTCAATTTTTTACTTCTTCATAAGACCGGAAGTGCTGGTCAGCCAAGCCGTGTGCCATTGATCGAAACAAGTGATAGTTAGAGGGAGCAACGTCTGAAGAATACGGTGGGGTAGGACTTCCCATTTCAACATTTCAAAGTATGTCTTGACCACTTTCGCAACATGGGATCGAGCATTGTCATGCTGCAAAATCACTTCATCGTGTCTCTCGTTGTATTGCGGCCGTTTGTCTTTCAATGTTCGACTCAAACGCATCAATTGCGTTCAATACTAATCACCTGTGATTGTTTCAGTCGGATTTAACTGCTCATAATACACTACGTCGAGCTGGTCCCACCAAATATAGAACATGACCTTGGAGCCGTCAATATTCGGTTTGGCTGTCGACGTGGAAACATGGCCGGGAACTCCCCATGATTTTCTGCGCTTGGGGTTATCCCTTAATGAACCCATTTTTCGTCCCCAGTCAATGCGATGCAGAAATCTCTTCCGTTTTTGCCTTTCAAGCAGCTGTTCACAAGCAAACAAACGCCGTCCAACATCTCTCGGCTTCAACTCGTACGGCACCCAATTTCCTTGCTTCTGAATCATTCATAACTTTGAGGCGTTTTAAAATGGCTTGTTGTGTCACTCCCAATGATCGTGCTAATTCTTCTTGATTTTGACACGAGTCTTGATCAAGCAATACCTCCAATTCTGCATCTTCGAAAACCTTCTCTCTTCCACCGGTCTCTATGCCGGTCTTCGACGTCAAAATCACCGTTCTTGAAGCGTTAAAACCACTCACGACACGTTCTTTCACTAATAGCGGCCTTACCATAAGCATTTGAGAGCATTCGATGAGCCTCAGCCGCAGATTTCTTCACATTGAAGCATAAAATTAAAATCTCCCGCAAATAACGAGAATTTGGCTCGTAAACTGACATTTTCAATCGAGAATAACTTTATGATGCAGACACAAATCGACTAATGTTTCTATGGGATTATGTTGACAAATGCCTAAGTTTGTTGTATGACGGCTATGATCTATTTATTTCGACCACCACTTACGCTAAAGCCATCTATAGGAAAACGGCGGAAATAAAGTTGTACACCTAATATATTTATATTTTATATATATATGGTATATATATATATATATATATATATATATATATATATATATATATTCGATTCAACAAAAAATTTCGGGCCATAGGCATAGCATGGATTGTAATAATGTGTTTTACTGAGCATGGAGGTTAGTTGATTTAATAATAGTATTAAATAGATACAAAATAAGCAAAATATTCTGATTTAAGAACTTTTAAAAGTAAAGATTGCTAGAAAGGAAATGCTACGAGGCAAAACATGTTAAGTGCTAATGATTAAACTATATTTAATATTTATCAGTTGATATAAACATTAAATCATACAAATGTGTCAACTTCTTCATCAGATCCTTGGTGTAAAACATAATAATTAAGCTAATTGAAAGTAACAATAAAAATAAATATAAAAGAGTTGCAATCGGATGCGTTACGACCACTTTTGATGTCCTACGCTGGAATTTGCTTTTCCTATCACACGGTTATCTGAGTCTCTGAATCACCAACTGAGTCTCCGATCGACTAGACAATTAACTAACAACTAAAAAAAAAAGGAATTTCCATCAATTTGCATAACATAGAGATACGAATACAATAAATTTTATTTTTTTTTATATTAATATTTTGACGCAACGAACTATATTAATGCAACGAACTATATTATACTACTATACTATTATTTTTTCTGGCTTGGTTTTTGAAAATATTCTGATTACGTTATTAGTATGTTTACGTAATTTCAATAGTTACGCAATCAAAACTGATTATATAATCAAAACTGCTAAACTCGCCAATTCTTTTTCAATTGATATCATAGCTATGATAAATCGCATGATCACGTTTCGCGTCATTTCTCAGATAATACTTTATTATTTTCAATTTTAAAAAAGATGCCTTTGTAGTTGCCACAGACATTGAAGCAATTAATAAAACCTGTAACGCTATTGCTAAATTTGAAAAGATTTCCAGAAAGTCACTGTTAACTAATTCATTTAAAAATCTTACCTTACCAATTAAGATAGAGCTTTGTATTTACAAAAGTAGCACTGGCTACAAAAGTAGCTATTAAAATTTTGTTCCCCTCCAAATTTTACGCTCTACTCTGGAACGTACCTGCTCAGTGCCTCGTCACGCCTCCGGTCGCAATATAAATCGGTTACATATATTAGATAATTTCAGAATAACATGATATCATAAATATTAAATTGTTGGAAAATTCGTGTTCTCTTTGGAAGAATTAAGAAAATATTGAACGAGATCATTAAAATTAAAAATTGACGTTACATATGTAGCATAAATTGTAAATGGTAATAGATCTTATTTTCCACTGCAATCTTCATTTGGAATAACATCTAACAAAAATCCTTTAATGTATGGACTTGTTCAATAAATCCATCCTGACTTTTGCATTATGTACACTCTACAAGTTTCTCTATCCACATAATTGCAGTCGGTTCACAATTTTCCTTGTGATACATTCTTTTTAAATTGTTGTCTGATAAATTAGTTATTTCAAACGTAATGCGAAGCAATGACATATTACATTTGAGATAACTAATTTATAAAACGACAATTTAAATTTCGAGATCTCGTAGTGATTTTTAGCGTCGATGAATGCAAGGCTTAATAAGCATTTTTGTAATAGACAATTATATATATAATAAATCATAACCATGCAACGTTATAATTTAGAACAAAAAATTTATTCTTATCAAACGCTTTATTACAGATATTGTTAAGAAGCCGTTATCATGCAAAATCTGGATTCCTTTTAGCAGACTTACATACTGTGCTTTAAATCCTTTTATTATATATTCGATTCATTTACATAGTGAAACATCTGTTCATTTTGAGTTCCTATCCATAGTAAGTACACGAACAATTAAAACTCCAACCTCGACAAATTAAATATATTTATTGTCATAATTTTCAGAGCGTTATGATCATAGCATGCTTGGTGATTAGTTATTTCTGTGCATATGCATTGTATTTAATGGCAGAGTCACCGTATATCCTATTAATGCGAATGTTCAGCCAATCTCATAACAGAAAAAGGAAAGAGATGAGATTATAATTTCGCATACCTGATTGCAATGGAAATACTGTAATAATAATTGTAAATAAAAAACAATAAAATAAAATCAATTTTAAATGTTTGTCCCTCTATAGATTTGTGTGAAATCATATTCGACTACGATGGAACTAAGGAATAAATTAGGTTCAATTCGTATAAACTATTTCGAAGGAACATATATTTAAAATAAGCATAAATTTAATAAATTGAATGATATTTTTAAAGTCAATTATTGCGTAGAATAGATTTCAATTTTAGGGATATAGAGCTATGTGCAAAAGTATTAGGCACTAACAATTTTCTCGCATTTTATGAAAAGTTAAATGTCTCGAAGAAAAGAAATCTCAAAGAGGTTTTCGACTACGCATTTTAAAGTGTAAAGAAAGGGCTTCAAATCTGCATTTAAATCTTTTGTCTAGGATATTTCGTTTCTAAGTTATATAAACTTTAAAAATTATATTGTTGCAATATTTTGTTTTACTTTAAAGCGCTACAGTTCGATAAAACATTAGCAAACAAAATTTAATATAAAAGTAGGCTTCTTAAGCTTTAAAATATCTTTTAAAAAAATTTGTACGATAATTTTTCGTAAAGTAAATAGTATTTTTTATTATGTGAAATTATTGTGTAAAAACTTATTTTTTCTAACAAGTTTTTTCAATTTCGGAATTGAATAATATACGAAAAGAAAACAAAAAGAAAAAAAAATTTTTTATAATATGCATAATTCGTATAAATTATTTCAAATTTTTTTAAAAATTTTTAAAAATTTTTAAAAAATTTTATTTCGTCAATTTTAAAAACATTTATAGTGGTTACTTGCGTAACTTACACATCAGTAAAGTCGGGTTGCCTATCTGAGCATTCCCATGAGCATGCCTATCTGAGCATAAATATTTAAAAATATATAATTATAAATATTTATAATTATAAAGCAAATGTTTTTGTCTTGAAATGTCTATATAATAAATATTTGCTATATAATTACAAATATTTATAATTATATTTTTTTTTTTCAATAAATATGTATTAAATGTCATTTATGTTAGATTAAGTCAGATATTTGTATTGTTAAATACACATTTTATATTACTGAATTTTACACTATACCAAAATGAAATTCAATTTCTCTTGTCTCATTCTCCTCTGGACTCTCTTGCGATCTTATTCTGCATTACCAGTAGAGCGTACTCCTACCGATAGGCAGATAGCCAACCCGACTTACTGATGTGTAGATTACGAAAACATCCTGTACACAATAAGACTTAACA